CAAGACATTTGAGACTTGATATTCACGAATCGAAAAGCAGGTTTTTATAAAAATTTGGAATGTTTTTATTACGTATGAAGAAACGAAACAATAAATAAATCATTTTCAACATCTACAGAATTGTATTCTAAAAACACTGGTCCTCATATCGATCAAGTGTCGTATGGGATAAATGATATCTCACAGACTGATAATAAACGGTTAGGTCTAAATGTGAGATAGTCTAGGCCGATAGGCCTATATGACCTAAATTTAAATTTCCAGCGAAAATATGCGAACGATGCCCCTTGGTGACGATGCTTCTGAGAGTGGAGATGGGTCGCAAGAGGAACTACTGGTGTTCTTGTCATTTGACCATAAATTGTTTGAAAAGTGCTCCACAGGAGGAAGATTTCGGGACAATAATTCTACTCCATGCTTTGAGAGGGCAGAATAGTCCGAAACATACCATAGCACGCTTACTTTTATTCGCGTTGAAACTCGCCACAATGGGATAGCTAACCATTTTCTGTCAAAAGACATACGATAAATGTTGAAAAATGATTTATTTATTGTTTGTTTCTTCATCATGTCGTTTAGCTAATTGAACATAATCGTCCACCTTAATCTTATAGTTAGAGTATCCCTTAAACGTTTTCTTTCTTTTCTTTCAAAACACTGTCAGAAGTCAAAATGATATTATATTTAACTTTTGATGCTAAATACATAACAAAAATAATTCCACCATCTCCATAGTCATTCTTTCCTTTGCAATATTCAGTTTCAGATACCAACCCAGCTTAGTTTATCTCAATTTTTAGAAGAAATATATAAACTATCAGTATCTGTATCGTATATTTCCGATTTATAAAATCCATTTATTATATGAATAAAATTGTTCATTATTCTTTTACTGTGAGATAATATAAACGCACCTAAATGAGTGGGTGTTAATCTTGTAGAATCCTTTGGAGGAACAAACTCCTTTTCTTCGTCATTAATCTCCACAATGTATTGAGTATCATTTAGTTTGTCATACTTCTTGACGTGATTGTCGTAATTAAGGCGGAACGTTTCTTCATTCCATAAATGCAATGAGGCATTTCTATCCCTCTGAATTGATTTACCGTATAAGGAATTAACAACTTCATGCAGTTACTAGCAACCCCATCCCCTATCTTTTTGTATTTATTCCTTGAATCCTTTAAAATTAAAATGTAATCTCTATATGGTGGAGTTTTAAAATTTTCTTCATAGACTATTTCATCTAATATCCTGAGTATTTTACCACCGGCTTTAACTACTTCTTGAATATCAACCAACTTTTAAAATAGCTGTTCTATGTCTGAATTTCTCTTCATTAAATAGCTTAACAAATTCTTCTTCCTCAGGTTAAAATGCTCTAGCACTTTCAGCTTTTGGATATTCACCTTCTGTCATAGTAGAGGCATACAGCCCATTAGCGTCAAATGCCATCGGTTTAGAATAGTCCAGCTCTTTGAGTTTAGCGTGAACTTTTGTTTTATCTTTTGTACTTGTGTTGTATTCTTTGAATAAATCTATTATTCCTTCAGTGTCACTTTCTAAATACTCTTTTAATATGGCGCAAATCTCATTCATTTTGTCCGTTTCAAATGTTTTCCTGTTAGCAGAAACTCTCCCTCCTTTAATGGATTGTCTGATGAAATATCTTATAAAAAGATGAATAAACCTTTTCAGTGTTTTCTTTTTCAGTGTGTTCTGGAACCTTATGTAACCTTGTCGTAATGATACAAATAATACCAACCCTTTAAAGATCTCATTTAGCATATGGCTCCCATTCATGTCTTAAAGGTTCCCAGTTGTCCTTGGTGTATTTAGCAATGTCTACATTCATTATTTTTCTTAAATTCATAGGTAGATTAGATGAATTACCCCATGCCGCCAAACTAGTGCTTTGATGTTGAAATGAACAAGTGAGACATATGTTTTGTAAATAGTTATTCTTATCATATATTTTTATCTCTCCTTTCTCTCTTTTCCACTTTTCCTGCAATCTTACTTCTGTATATGGATTAGATAAAGGAAGAGAAGAGTATTTATTTTTAATTATTTATTTTATCTTTATATTTACACATGATATTTCTACATCAAATTGATCTAAAATTTCATTGAATTCTTCTAATTCTTCAATGGTTATGTTCTTATCTTCTCTTGATCTTTCAAAAAATATAAATAATTTATTAAGATATGAATTTAAAATTTCTGTTTTCTTTTTATGAGATTTCTGTTTTGATGTATAACCTAATGTTATCAATCCACAAGATGATGTTTGAACAGCAGTGAACGCGGCTAATACGGTTGGGACAATTATTGGAAGCATTAACCCACCAGTTACAGCTGTTGCCACTGTTACTCCTACTGTTAGAATTGTGCTTACTGTTTTGAAAACAGAATCATTTCTACTCCATGTTTTTCTGCATTTGTTGAAGTGTTTTAGTTTTTCTTTTAGTTCATTTTGTTTTTCTATCATATAGTTTTGTCTACGGCTTTCGAACAGTTCCATTTTGTCCAACAGTTACAAAGGATATAATTTTGTTCTTTCGATTCATTAATCTTGTTTAGATGAACTGAAAATTTTGGTTTTTCAATTGAGATTGATATATTAACATATGCATCATCATCTCTTATTGCTGGTATCACAAATTTTCGTTTTTGTTGACTTTTATGAATATCAATTGAGGTAATATATCATTATTAACAAAATATAGTTTTACGTATTCAAAGTCTGTCGTTCGTAAAAACTCATAACTTTCCCTCTCTGGATTTCTAATAATATTCATTGATGGTTTCCAATATCATATCAAATTGACTCAATAATAATAATAATCTTTTTCTTTGTCTGGTATGATTAACATTCTAAACCTATCTATATATTTTCCACTCGTTTTAATTTCGTACAAGTGATTATTCGTGCTGTTTTCCTCGTTAATTTCTAATTCTTTAGTTTCTACATTTTCTGTGCCATTGATTAACTGAAGAACTTTACGAGCGTTAAATGGATTAGATGAAAGTGATTTTTGTCTGAAGAATATTGAATGAACTTTTACCTGCATAGGAAAAATGATTTCAATTAGACGTTTTCCTCGGAAAGCAAATTATGATGGATATTCATTATCAAACATCTCTATGGGGTTGAGAAAAATTGAATCTGGAACAGTATATACTCTTATATTTGCTGTAAATCCATATTTTTTATATTCATACTCTCTTGTGCTATCAATATTATCAGTAATAGAATCACTCACATATCCAAAATGTCCAAATGGAAGATTGAAATAATATGATTTATTTTCTTCCTTGAGATGCTTTTCTAATGCGGCTATATTTTTGTTCCTGTTTTAAAACTTCATTATTAATAGTGGTTATCTGTTGTTGAATACACTATCATCAATATTTTGTATTTGTTGTTGAATATAGGTTTTAATTTCACTATCATCAATGTTCTGTATTTGTTGTTGAATATAGGTTTTGATTTCACTATCATCAATGTTTTGTATTTGTTGTTGAATATAGGTTTTGATTTCACTATCATCAATGTTCTGTATTTGTTGTTGAATATAGGTTTCGATTTCACTATCATCAATGTTCTGTATTTGTTGTTGAATATAGGTTTTGATTTCACTATCATCAATGTTTTGTATTTGTTGTTGAATATAGGTTTTGATTTCACTATCATCAATGTTCTGTATTTGTTGTTGAATATAGGTTTTGATTTCACTATCATCAATGTTCTGTATTTGTTGTTGAATATAGGTTTTGATTTCACTATCATCAATGTTCTGTATTTGTTGTTGAATATAGGTTTTGATTTCACTATCATCAATGTTCTGTATTTGTTTACATTAACGAGAGGGTTAATAGATGTAATGAATGGTGAGGATGTTGAAATCGCCGATTACAAGGATTTACTAGCATACTCAAAATTTCTACATGCAATCAGAAAGTCGGGACCCGAAACAAGAAGATTAAAAACAGTTGAAACATATTTGAATAAAGTTATTCCTGATGAAGAGGAATCAGATGATTATGCAGAAGATTATCCACCAATCATACAAGAAATAGACGAATTCGAAGATATGGTATCTGGAGAAGGTATAACGTTTTTAACCGACAACAACGAGGAACTACTTAATAGATTACGAGTAATATTAGCGGCCATGAAGGAAGGACATCGATCGCACAAACAATATAATGAAGTAAATTGTATATTAAAAAGACTCCTAGAGAAAGGTATCATAGATAAAAATGATTATAAAAGCGTGATTAAAAATGTCAAATAAAGAACAACTATTCGTCATCACCTCGAATAAATCAGACATTAAATTATCTCTAGATTATGAGTACGAACTCGATCGCAATCAAGAATATGAATTGGGATTAAAGTATTTCTCTGTTTACAATTCCATTAGAAATATCAACGAAAAAAATAACCAAATAAAAATATCAACAGCTGAATGGAGTTACTGAATGGAGTTACATTCAAAAGCATACGTTTACTACCAGGAAGCTATGAATACATAGCCATTAACGAATACTTATCTGAATACGCAGGAAGCGTGAGCGGTAAAAACAATATCGAATTCGAAGGTAATTTGAATCTAAACAAAATACAATTGATATTAAGAAATAATTGTCAAGTTGATTTCAATGTAGAAAATTCATTGAATACTTTACTTGATAAAAAAAATATACACCCAATCCACTTTAGCACCACACAAAGCTAATATCGAGAATGATATCGATGTGATAAATATACATTGCAATTTAATAAACAGTGGATTTTTCAATAAATACAAACGACAGATTATTTACAGTCTTCCAACATTCACTGTACCGATAGGATATAGAATTATAGAGAAACCATTTCAAACGACGTATTTACCACTTAATTCCTTTATGATTAAAGATATAAATATTGAAATCAAAGATGGTAAAAATAGGTTTATAGATTTTGGTAACGAGGAAATTGTTATTCAACTTCATTTAAAACAAAAAAAACTAAATTCATTCTGATGGATCATCATTAGATTCATTCTGATAGATTCATTTGTAAAATAATCAAAATCATCAAATACATAATCATCATCCAAACACATCTCATCTTTATTGTTGTAAGGATACATAATTCCTTCACCGTTTGGTGCTTTTCTCTTAACGAGATTTAGATAACTTCTGAAAACTTTCTTTTGTTTTTCAATGGGAATAACTATTCCATCAGTAAAACTTTTTACCCAAGGTTTATCAAATTCATTCGTTACGTCATGTCCACTAGCTAATTGAATGTAGTCTTCTACCTTAATCTTATAGTTAGAGTAACCCTTAAACGTTTTCTTTTCTTTTAAAACACCATCGGAAGTTAGAATGATATTGTATTTTACTTTTGGCGCTAAATATAAACCAAATATGATTCCACCATCACCGTAATCATTCTTCCCTTTGCTATATTCGTTTTCAGACACCAACCCAGCTTCATTTAATTTATCCCAATCTCTAGACGAAATGTATAAACTATCTGTATAGGATATTTCCGGCTTATAAAATCCATCTATTACGTGAATGAAATCGTTCATTATTTTTTTACTGTGAGATAATATAAATGCACCTAAATGAGTGGGTGTTAATCTAGTAAAATCCTTTGGAGGAACAAACTCTTTTACTTCGTCATTAATCTGAACGATATATTGGGTCTCATTTACTTTTTCATAGCTGTTGACGTGTGAATCGAAGTTGGCTTTAAAAGTCGCTTCACTCCATAGATGTCCCGATGTATTTATATCCTTCTGAATAGTTTTACCGTATAAGGAATTACCTAATAATTTCATGCAATTACTAGCAACCATATCTCCTTCTTTTTTGTATTTATTCCTTAATTCCTTCAAAATTAAAATATAATCTCTGTATGGTGGAGTTTTAAAATTTTCTTCGTAAACTATACCATCTAATATTCTAATAATTTTACCACCGGATTTCACTATTTCTTGAATATCAACCGATGTTAAAACGTCGTGACAGAAACCATTTCTGAACCTGATTTTACTCCCAGTTTCCTTCTGACCTATTCTATTCGTAAAAGTTATTTTATCTTTAGCTGGTATGGGTTGAAAGAACATGTTTTTGGGATATTCAAACCAGACTTTTAAAATAGCAGTTCTAGGTCTGAATTTTTGTTTATTGAAGAGTTTTACAAATTCTTTTTCTTCTTCTGGTAGAAACGCTCTTGCACTTTCCGCTTTAGGATATTCACCTTCTGTCATGGCGGAAGCGTACAACCCATTAGCGTCAAATGCCATCAGTTTAGAATAGTCCAGTTCTTTGAGTTTAGCGTGAACTTCCGTTTTATCTTTTGGGTTAACACTGTATTCTTTGAATAAATCTATTATTCCTTCAGTGTCATTTTCATTGTATTCTTTTAATATGGCGCAGATCTCATTCATTTTATCCGTTTCAAATGATTTTCGATTTGCCGAAACTCTTCCTCCTTTAATACTTTGTCTGATAACATATCTTTTAAAAGGTTGAGTATGCGAGTAAACTTTTTCTACGTTTTGTTTTTCCGTATGTTTGGGAACCATTCTAGTAGTTTCATACCATTCTTCTTCAACCATTTCTTTAATGTAATGATATAAATAATACCAACCCTTTAAAGATAAAGAAGGAGCCGTTAGATTATTGGAAACGTTTTGGAAGACAGTTTTTTTCATGGCTTGATTGTATTTTATCAAACAAGCTCCGAGACACAATGTATCTCTTTTAGCGTAAGATTCCCATTCGGGTCTTAAAGATTCCCAGGTTTCTTTGGTGAATTTTGCAATATTAACATCGATGATCTATCTCAAATTCATCGGTAGATTAGATGAATTTCCCCAGGCCGCCAAACTAGTGCTTTGATGTTTAAATGAACAAGTGAAAGATATATTTTGTAAATAGTTAGATTTCGGGGAAGGGAGGGTTTGATTCTCCCAAATGTACAGGCCTAGGGTGGAGCAGACACTTTATTTAGAAATTAGGATTACGGGTCTTGATATTGGGTTTTCTTCTGTTCTTATTCTGATCTGAAATTAGAAAAAATAACTTGCCCGATGGGCGAGAAGTATAGTATCTGTTATGTACTGATTGTTTTTAGTTTACTATGAACAATATTATCATTTAAGTTCTTATTTTTTGAATATGCAACTATCATTTTCTGCTTATAGACATGGGGGAATTTCTCTTGAAGGCTCTTATAGTGGGCATGAACTATCTTGCTTGCTCGATTGCTGGTTGTATTAAACGGGACAACAAAGGGTGCTATGCCTACATTATGATGAATATTTAGTCCTATAGGTCTTGCTGTATTCAATGTCTCAATCCAATGGGCCTCCCTAGATTGACGGAATTTGGTAGTTTCATCTTCGGGCAAGTCAATTTCTATACGCTCAATTGGGATTAGGGTGAGATCGTCTATTGAATGGTCGTCGAGGTTGAAATGATTAGAAACAGGCTTGTCTTTCTTTAATTTGATGTCTGACCTATGAGCATTAAAGCGAGTTCGTAAATTATTCTTAGTTTCTCCTACATATTGTTTGGGGCATTTCTTGCATGAAATTAAATATATTACATTCGAATGTTCACATGTTAGATGTTCCTGGATCGGGTACCTTTTTTTCGTAGAGTTGCTTACAAAATAATGAGTTTCTGATATAAAGGGACATGTTTTGCATCTACTGGACAAACAATCGTACAGGCTTGGTTGAAATCAGAAGATCTTGTACAAATTCGATGAAATCGTAAAACTTGTGACTTAATTATACCAGAAAAGGTATGTTTTGGGTGAAAGGAGCTCTTGTGCAAGAGTTGATGAGTATCAGTTTCTTTGAAATACACTTTAATATCCAGTTTATTTGTTTCTGCTATGGAATCCCCCTTAAAGACTATGGTATCGAGAAAGTCTATGCTTTTGGCGCTCACGTTTGCGGTTAGTTTGATAGAAGGATGGTGGTTGTTGAGAATTTCAAAGAATTCCCAAAACTGTTCGATAGAATAAGTCCAAACCATAAAAATGTCATCCAAAAAGCGTCCGTAAAAAAGTGGGTCAAATGGACAGAGGGACAACACCTCACGTTTCCACTCTGCCATGAAAAGGTTTGCGTACGAAGGGGGGAATCGTTTGCCCATTACTGTCCCTGAAGTTTGTAAATATGTTTGACCATTAAATGTGAAATCGTTTCGACTAAGACAAATCTCTAAAAGCTGTAGAATTGCATCGTCGAGTCTGTTTGGATCTGGGTTTCTATTAAAAGCTTTACGAACTGCCGTTAAACCAGTAGTGTTATCGATATTGGTATACATAGAAAAAAAACGTCGATAGAAATTAAAATAGCATTAGAGGGAACTCAAAGATTTTTTATTTTATTGACAAAATCGGTTGTGTCTTTAAGGTAGGCGCGATGTTGGCATGCTAGAGGTAGTAAGAAATGATCAATGTATTCTGACACTGCATATGACTCACTACCACAGTCAGATATAATCAGGCGGCCTTTAGGGATTTTATTCGAGATAAACCACTCCTTGGTTGGATTCTTATGGATTTTAGGCAAAGTGTACAGATGTCTCTCGCGACAATCAGGTTTGGCAGACAGATAGTCATATTGTTTCTGTTTGAGATAACTAGTTTTGACTAAATCGGCAAGAATATTGTTAATCATGTTAGCAGTTTCTTTGAAAATTGGTGTCGGTAAAATGGCATAATGTTTAGGATTATTCAGTTGATTCTCTGCTTCTGAAACGTAATCCTCCCTATTCAGAATGACACAACATGAACCTTTGTCACTCTTTTTAATAACAATGCTATCGTCTTTCTTAAGTAAGTTTAACGCTTCACGTTCCACACGTGTGTGTTATGGAAAGGTTCACTGTTTGGCTATTCATACTCGCAAATGCTTTCAATATTTCAGGATGGATGGCGGCCTGAAAAAATATATGTGCAGCTAAGATGTCGTTGAAATCGTTCAATGGATGGTCGGAGATAATTCAAGTTAGCTATCTTTGGTGTGGGAATAAACTTAAGTCCACGGTCTAAGATTGAATGCTGAAGGGGTGTGAGAATTTTGCGGCTCAAGTTAACTACAGTTTGGCCTAGCGGTGGCCTCTCAGTATTTTTATCCCCAGTAATTAGTTTAAAGACTTACTCGATGCTTGAAGCTGGTGTATCCAAAACAAATAGATGCTGTTTCTGGAGACCAATGAAGATTATCAACTGGTTCGAATTCTTCTTCGTAGGGTGGTAAGATTGTTGCGCTGTTGATACTGGACTCCATCATCATGTTGTTGAGAGTGCTGAGGTTCTGTTGTGCTTTCTTCGAGATTTTATCTGAAATGGGTATACATGTGAAGAGGATCTTGGAGTTTGGGAAGGTTTTGTTGGCTGTGGCGACTAATTTCCGGGCTTGGTTGAAGGAGGTCTTTGGTAGCTGATCACGGTTGTTGAGGCCTACATGAAGAATAATGGTAGTAGGTTTGGGATCATGGTCGTATGATTCCAGGATTGACTGTATGTGATGGATTTGGGCACCGGGGTAAGAATGTATTTCGGTGTCTGAACTGGTTTTGGTAATTCGATTTAGGTTAGATGATCCAATTATTAAGGTAGATTTCATTAGAGCAGGTAGCTTCCATAATGATTTGTCCTTGGTTTGGTGATAATACGGTTTGGTAGCGGATATAATGGTCGTCGACGGTGTGATTGGTACTGGTTTGGTAGATGTTAGAATTGTAGCATTGGGAACGGACTGGGATCTCGTTCGAGGGGGGGGGAAGGTCTGGATACACGTCTCGACTTGGATGGAGACTGAGGGGTGGTTTGCTGGTCCAAAAACGCACAGAAGGAAGAAAGGTTGGCGGATCCTGGATCACGTGGTGAAGATTCAGATGGTGTGGAAGGGGAAGACGAGTCTGAAAGTGAAAAGAGAAGGGGTGTGCCCTCTCTACGAGAGCGTTTACCTATGTCTGCTGGACTAGGAGTAGGTGAACTTCGGGCTCGTTTAGGGGTTTGGTTCGGCAGCGTGGTGGCTCTAGATGGTGCAGGTGTAGTGTCCATTTCAGTTGGTAGAGATATGGTTACCCTGGTTTTTGTTTCGTTGATTGTTTGGTAGAATTTGGAGATTAGAGCTTGAGTGAGACGTTTCCCATAGGAGCGACGGGCCCAGGACAGGGCATGAGAAACGATGCGGTCGACGGCAGGTGATGATAAAGACTTGGTACGAATGGTGGTCAGCTTCTCTTGAAGTGTGGTTTGGTAATGGTCGATCAGGACTTGCGTAACCTTATAGAGCCATGTCCGAATGAGGGATCTAATATTCGCGTCGACAGCTGATGTTTTCATTGCTGGACGGATAAAACTATCCAACTCAGAGACTTTGCGTTTGAAGGTAAACGCTGGTTGGCCTTGCTGTTGAAGGGTAAGGATTGCCAAATGATGGAGGGACTGCAAAACTTGGAAGAACACCTTCACAAAGGGTTCTTCCTCCTTATGAGTGGGGACTGGTTGGCGTCGGTGGGCTGGTAGTCTTTTCTGTTGTTGGTCAGGTCGATGGTTACCTCTTGATTGGTAGGCTGTGTTGTAGGTAGGTCGGCGATGGTGTGGGATATAGCTGGATGGGTTGGTTGGTGGTCGGCGATTGGTAGGTGGTAGAGGTCGATGGAAGACAGGGCCGTTGTAGGGTACGTGATATTGGTTTGGTTGACGATTAGTGTTTCTATGTCTGGCTTCTTGCCAGTGGTTGTTGTAGTTGGGGTTAGAAGGGAATGTACAGCGGATGTAACAGGAGGAAACTGTATATGCTAGCGTGAAAATGTTGGGATCAAATTATGCAAATAAGTCAAACTGGCTTTGGGGATATATAAACTAAGATGAAAGTTATGATGAAAAATGCAAAAATATATATTTAGGTGATAAATAACGCTAACAATGATGTGAAAAATTATAACAAGTAAAACAAAAACTTACACAATTGACACGAACCGGTTTTCGAAATATTATCCTTTTTCAAGTGTCGAGGAATGGTTATTTCTCTCTGGTAATCCCAGAGATTTCATATTTTTGTTATAAAATTCACTTCCTTTATCTACCCATAGTTTTTTTGGATGACGGTTAGATTGTTTCATAATCGTTTCAAATGCGTGTTTGACTGATAATCCCGTTTTGTTTTTCAAAGGAATTACCCATACATATCTCGTATATAAATCTATAACTGTTAAGCAATATTTAAATCCTCTTTCGACTGGCATATGAATTAAATCGGCTGACCATATTTCATCTTTTTCAAACACTTTGACTTTTAAAAAGTTTTTAGTTTTTCTAAATTCTTTATGAATTTCATCCGCTAATCCAAACCTAATTTCATCTTTGCTTTCAACAGTTTAATGATTAATGCTCTTTCCATTCTCTCTTTGAAAGTTGGATTTGGAATATTTTCAAGTTCGATTATCATTTGTTTGTCTGCTTCGTGTCTAAACTTTATGTCTTTGTTTCTGTATAAAATATCATGTTTAAGCGCAGTGGCGTCAACTCTATTGACTGGTTCTTCCCCTGGTTTGGGTTTATCGTTTTCGTCTAATCGCAGATCTAACCTTGTGCCTGGACCTGTGTAATTGTGACCGGGAAGATGTTTTTCTCCGGGATATTTCGCCCATGGAAATCCAGGATGAGAACCGAATGATTTTTGTATATCTCCTGAACCGAAATAAGTTTTTGGAGCGTGAGCGACAATCATTTTTATCCTATAACTTTAAAACCTTTTCCTTTCCTTTCTTCTAATCTCCTGTTTCGAAGTTCTCTTATTAGCTCTAATTCTTTCAACTCGTCAGATTGTTTCACTGTATCGCTTATACTCTTTCCAGCTTCCGTGATTGAGCCGATGGCTTTCGCTCCGCGTGAAATGAGTGATTTGTTTTTTGAAACAAAGCTAGCTACTTTTGGAATTATTGTTTTACCTAGAGAAAATAATGAAGAAAAGATACCGTCGCCCGAATAATCTTCGAATCTGTGTTGTTCGTGTTTTAGAATTAAACTCATCCTATTTTTAAATGAATTAATTTAGTCTGTTTTTATCCAAAAAGAGTTATCTCCCTTCTACTAAAAATGTTATGTTATTTTATATAAGGGTATTTTTAATATGCTTTTTTTGATGGAATGTAGGAAATTGATTGAAGGTGTTTTTAGTGTATGAAATGTAGGGAATTTAGGTCTTTTGCTGTAAGAATTTATGAAATGTAGAGAATTTATGAAATGTAGGGAATTTAGGTCTTGTTTTTTCGGGAGTTCATAGATTGTTTGGATTTTTCCCATGAAATGAAATGGAATAACTCGCTGGTTATCAGATGGACACAACACAGAATTTGAGAATTGAGATAACACTTATCCCACCTCTGCCACCAATAAAACCCTATATGTAGCGTGTTGCTGGATTTAATAATCTGGGGTTGGGGTTTTGCTATACAGCCCCAGAATAACGCAAAAATCTCTCAGTTAACGGGAGCAAGTGTCAGCTCAAAAGTGACTTAGTTCTATCCCAATTTTGTGAACCCCAAAAACTTGAATGTACAAAATGGGGCGATGTTGTTCTACTGCAAAGAACACACTGAAACCAATATCTCAATTTACTCAATGAAAGAAACAAGTGTTTGAAAACTTTATATACGCCCACTGGCAGCTTTGATTTTGAATAAAGATATTTAGCAGTACAGTAACAATCACCAGTATGAAATATTCAACTTTGAGTCATACACTTCTTTTGAACTCTTTTGGTTGATACTGAATAATATTGAGTATGAGTTATTGCCCTCTCGAAAACATGTTCAATTTTAAACTCTAGAAGACAAATATTCAATCTTCTTCTGAATAATAAAACCAAGTTTTGTCAAAATCTGGCAAGAATCATGCCTTCTAGAGTTTTTACGAGCTACAAATTAAACGAGTTTTCAAGGGCAATAACTCATACTAAATATTTTGTATTTTTCTGATTTTCAATACGCTTTATCCTTGGGTGATAATAAACACTCAAGCCAAATTTCGTCAAAAATCCGTCTAGAATTGTGCCTTCTAGAGTGTTTACAAGCCATAAATTGAACGTGTTTTCAAGAATAAGGGCAATAACTCATACTCAATATTTTTCTGATTTTCAATAGGGTTCATCCTTGGGTGACTGCGAACACTCACAGCAAGTTTCGCCAAAATCCGTCAAGAATTGTCCCTTCTAGAGTGTTTACAAGCAAAAATTTGAACGCGTTAGTAGTATATGAGCTCATAGATTGGTCGCATTTTTCCACATTCCATTTCATTTCATGGGAAAAAAGCAACCAATCTATGAACTCCCAAAAAAAAAGACCTAAATTCCCTATATTTCACAAATTCTTACAGCAAAACATCCTACATTTCATAAATTCTTACACTTAAAAAAGACCTTCAATCAATTTCCTACATTCCATCAAAAAAAAGCATATTAAAATAATGTAGAAGGGGGATAACTCTTTTTTGGAAAATTTCTACTCAAATTTTAAACCTTAAAAATGGCAAATAAAATACTAGATCCAATCTTTAGATTATACGATCCGATTCGTTATTCATTTAACAAGAAAAAAGAGGATTATATTATCATCTCACCGACTGTTGGTTCTAAATCCCAATTGAATGATGGTGGTAGAATTACCTTCGAAATAAATTCATTATCGAATTGGTTGCTTCTTTCCGATGCTTATTTCAGATGCGATTTCAAAATTAAAGATGGAACTCAGAATCAAGTACCACAAACTAATACAACGTTAGAAAACAATTTCTTTCCATCTTTATTTAGCGAGATGGTTTTGGAAGCTGGTTCAAATCCGATAGAAACAATCAAACACCCTGGGGAATTCGACACAATGTTGAAAACAGTTTTATATCCTAAAGATTTCGATTCAGTCTCAGGTTGGATACCCGATGTTGGCGATGGAAGTGTTTTAAAAGAACCGGTAAGAAATGTTGCAAATGATGCTGATTTAGATAGATTTCGGGGAAGGGAGGGTTTGATTCTCCCGAATGTACAGGCCTAGGGTGGAGCAGACACTTTATTTAGAAATTAGGATTAAGGGTCTTGATATTGAGTTTTCATCTGTTCTTATTCTGATCTGAAATTAGAAAAATAACTCGCCCTATGGGCGAGATGTTTAGTATCTGTTATGTGCTGATTGTTTTTAGTTTACTATGAACAATATTATCATTTAAGTTCTTATTTTTTGAATATGCAACTATCATTTTCTGCTTATAGACATGGGGGAATTTCTCTTGAAGGCTCTTATAGTGGGCATGAACTATCTTGCTTGCTCGATTGCTGGTTGTATTAAACGAGACAACAAAGGGTGCTATGCCTACATTATGATGAATAATTAGTCCTATAGGTCTTGCTGTATTCAATGTCTCAATCCAATGGGCTTCCCTAGATTGACGGAATTTGGTAGTTTCATCTTCGGGCAAGTCAATTTCTATACGCTCAATTGGGATTAGGGTGAGATCGTCTATTGAATGGTCGTCGAGGTTGAAATGATTAGAAACAGGCTTGTCTTTCTTTAATTTGATGTCTGACCTATGAGCATTAAAGCGAGTTCGTAAATTATTCTTAGTTTCTCCTACATATTGTCTGGGCATTTCTTGCATGAAATTAACTATATTACCATTCGAATGTTCACATGTTAGATGTTCTTGGATCGGGTACCTTTTATTCGTTTTTTTCCTTTATTAATTAAAATTTTATTTTATTATTTTTTTGTAATTTTAATTTAATTTCTTTTTGTCATTATTATTTTTTTTTTTTTTTTTATTAATTTCTATTTTATTTTATTTTATTTTATTAATTTAATCTTTTCACTTTGGAAATTTTCGATTAAAAATTTTCTCTATTTACAAAAAAAAACAAAACCTTTTCCCTTCTTTGCCTCGGCTGCCATAGTGTTTTGTTTATCAAGTCTCTAATACTCCATTCATTTTCCGCGAGTTGTCTCTCTTTAATTATTCCTTGTTATTCAAGACTATTTTTGGTTGTCGAATAATAAAAGAAAGTGGGTGGATCTGAAAAAGGATTTAACGAATCGGCGGAAGGGCGTAAAAAGGGTGGATACTAGTACAACCATAACTGTCCAAAGGTTATCCTAAAATGTTGAAGGAAAATGTCAGAAATACCGGAGATTAGGACCGTTGACAATGGTTAAAATTGACGGAGAAATGACACTAACAGCCATCAAAGAAGCATGCATTGATGAATTTGACATATCTTCAAGAACTCATGGATGCGATGTCATGGCGGGAGACCTTCTCTGTCAGAAATTGGCCAAATAAAAAATCTGAACAAAGTCATCCACGTAAGATTCTTTCTTAATGATTCGGATAGTAAAAGAATCCACGAAAGAGAAAAGCCAAGCCTTCGTATAGAAACCTCTAATAGTAGTACTAATAAAAGTATAATTAGTATTCCCTCCTCTTCCACCAAGTCAGAAATTAAGTATCCTGTATCTATTTCACAGTCTCAAATGTTGAAAGTGGGAAAATTAATCAAACCAGAGTTTGCTGAAATGGAGGTGTTAGATATCAAAATGGAAGAATTTGACATCGCAAAAATGCAATGGACGCCTTTAAAAGATGTGAAATTATCTGTATGTAAGGAAAGCTTCGCTAAGGGTGGTTTTCGCGCTGCATACAATGCAACGTCCCTTTCAGGCCTCTGCACATCAACCAAATATGTTGTAAAGAAATATTTGCCAGAACAAATTCCCAACATACTAACTATGTTTAACTCTTTAGAAAGCCACACACGAAAAGCGGTGCAGATGAATTCCTTGGCTGCTAATTTTGCCCAGAGTTTGAAATTCGATTCACCACCAGAATATGGTCCCTGTTTCACATATAACCCCGTATTTTTTGGAAAAATGGCAAAGGATGAATGTATTACCATGGAAAAGCACATTGATGGATTATTTGCTAAGTATATAAATAATACAGGACATATTGTTGCTCAGGCAATCTGTCATCTATGGCAATAGATTATTTTGTTGAACATCATGTTTGCAATAAGTATTGTGAAATGTTGGGACTTCAGAAATTGGACTAGATATTAAATAATACTTTTGAAAAAGACAACAGTTTTTGCCGTGCTGTACAAAAATGTCTATCAGTATTTTGTTTTATGTTTAAATACTCTTGTAATAAATAATAAGAATGAAATAAAATTGTTTTTTAGTAAAGCTACAACAATTAATGCAATTTTAAACAACAAATTTGACTTATAACCGGTGAATCTGATGACCTTTATTAAGCAATGATTTGAAATGATCTGAACATAATCTGTGCACAGTTATTGAATTTAATCTACTTGAAATGCTCTTTTAAATATTTATAAGCAGTATCAGCATCAGAAGAGTTTATTTCATTGCTGTCTACGTGCAGTAAACATTTTTGTTTAAAGTCTTCAGTAAAGTAGGGTGTTGGTTGTTGATAAACACCTGATAATTCAGAAACCTCTTCAAGCTCATTCACTGACATGTGAAAGCCGCAATTTCTTCCACCATATTTCTCTGGGAAATGGTAAATGTGCTCGGGTACACCCGTTGGAAATTCTTTTCTGTCATTCTTTCTGGATCGGTGATTATTCCACACACAATCTTTGAATGTATCTAACTTCTTTTGAATGACAGGAATGTAAATATAAGCAAGCAGTTGTCTGTAAAAGCAGAAAGCAAAAAACAATTAACCTAGGAATTATTTCAAACATTTGCAGCTGTTTCATGCACAAAATGATTTCTTACATATCTAGTGCAATGTTAGATGCTTAACTTTCCTGAACAATAAGAACAAAGTGTAGATTATTATGGTTAATTAAGAAGATGTTAATATTTCAAAAACTAACTGAAACTGATACCTCTCAATTTTATTTGATGGATTATATGCACCACTTTCTAAAAGACTAGAAAGTTGTCTCTTAAAATAGATCTCTAATCTGTGATGTAACTCCCTCCAGAATCTTTCAATCTTATTTTCTGTTGAAGGACCATAAAGGATGCAGTCTGTCACATCCATATCATCAAGTTTTTTATCCAGAAGATAGCAATGTATTGTTGTCAAATCCCCGGTCTCTGTACCTCTGTCTACTCTTAATCGTAGAGGCAATCCTACAAAGTAAGAAATTTTACATGTATGATAATACAATTTTTTGTATATTACTTTGCTGAATTCTTGTGCTTTAATTAATTTAGTACTATTATATATCTCCTTTGAAATTAGGATTGCAATTTAAAGCTTATAAATATTGCTTACTTTCTGTTTCAAACAAATAATCCATATAATATCTACCAATAACCATTGGATCATTATTAGTTGTAGATATTCTCAGGAACTGTATTCTACCACTGAAAGTGTCCTGACCACCATATACACATAAAGGAAAAGTTGACTTTTGAAAGCCACACAAATTATCATGGCCATCTAAAGACATTGTGAAATCTGAACCCTAAAATATGAAATATGTTGTTTATAACACATTCACATACATGTATTGGCCAATCCACACCCATGTACAAGAAACTTTGTAACACATTGGTAATTTAATAAATTTTCATGAAAACCATAGATTAAATTGTAGTCAATCAATTCTAAATTGTATTCATACCTCCGAAAAGAAATTCTTTTCTCTTCTTAGGCGCTTTGGTTTTCCAACTCCACCTCTTTCTTTCAAACCACTTTCATCGATTTCTCCCATGACTGCATACACTAAGTCCCTTAGTCCACATTTAAGTGGTGAATCTGTAATTATAATAATTATTTCAATGTTTTCTACTACACTGCTTATTTATAGTAGGCCTACTAATCTTTATATGTCATGGGCGTCGGAACGACTTTTTCAAAACTAAAAGGAGTCAGACAAGGTCATTTTTACCTATATAGAATTGATATCACCCCTCCCCCCCCTACTCAAAAATTCCTTCCGACGCCAGTGAATGTTGGCCAAGATCTTCAAAATAAATACGAACAGCCCAGAAAAAAACATCATTAAGAAAACAAAATAGCATATCCAAAAAAATTTTCTGGTGCATAGCTCTGTATCCCAGAAGTTTTCCTGGTCCTGATAATTCTTTTTCGACAGCCTCCTTTACACTTTCGTAGTCAATGCTGTGGTCAGTGTATTTTATACCAAAATAATTCAGTCTGCGATCAAGAGATCTAAGACTCCATGCATATTGAACAAATCTGTCCTCAACAAAGTCTAATATTTCTTTACGATGCAACCCTGTATCCACATACGATGTCAGCCACCGCTTTAAATCGGCATCGTTTTTCCATTGATCATTTCTGCGTGGTAACATTTCATTCAAGAAACAAAATATAGTCATGAATAACTAAATAAAGAAAGACAACTCGCGGAAAATGAATGGAGTAAAAGAGACTTGATAAACAAGACACTATGGCAGCCCTCGGCTTATGGCAAAGAAGGGAAAGGGTATTTTTTTTTTAGATAGAGAAATTTTTTAATGGAAAATTCCCAAAATGAAAAGATTAAAAATAGAATTTAAAAAAAAAAACAGAAATTAAAAAAAAAAAAAAATATAAAAATAATAATGAAAAAAAAAAATTAAATTAGAATTACAAAAAATATAATAAAATAAAATTATAAAATTTTAATAAATAAACAAAAAAAAATTACAAAATAAAGAAAAAAAAAATAAAAGAAATTAATTGAAAATGAAATGAATGAATAAAATATCTCAAAAATAATCTTTAAAAAAGTAAAATTATTCAAAATATAAGTAAGTAATGATTTTATTGGCTATGGCAGCCATAGTCCACCATAATGGACCAACGTCATATACAAATATACACCGACACCATACACGGTCCGGCCAATTTGCCGGCTCACAAGATACCAGAGGGTAAGTTGCAATGGACATAAACGCATTCACGCATTGAAGTTCCAATCAGTCATGTTGCCAAATGGAATAATTGGAAACATGTTTGGTCCAGTGGAAGGCCAGCGTCACGATTGTTTTTTGCTGCAACAAAGTCGGTTAATGGAGAAAATTGAATTGAACATCGGACGAGATCGGAGACCAGTTTGCACTGTATGGAGACCCTGCCTACCCTGTGAGAAATTACTTGTTAGCCCCATACAAGGGGGCGAATCTTACAGATGCTGAACATGAATTTAATTCCCTCATGTCATCTGTCAGAGAATCAGTAGAGTGGGGATTCCAAAAAATTACAACAAACTTTGCTTTCCTCGATTTTAAAAAGAACCTGAAAATCCTATTACAACCAGTTGGAAAATATTTTCTAGTTGGAACACTTCTGACAAACTGTCATACATGCTTGTATGGATCACTAACTGGTAGTTATTTTAACTTGGAACCTCCCTCTTTAGAGCAGTACCTTGGATTTGAAGCAATTCAGTGATGGAAATTAGGCGCATTAAACAGCGGTGATCTAAATTGAAATTGAAATTGTTTGAGCATCTGGTTTGAATCATTTTGAATTTTATTTTACAAATTGTACATATTTTATTTGTTCATTGGTTTTATTAAAATTTCAAGAATTGCATCATCTTTTTTTCTTCGGACCTCAGATTCCTTCATTTCCATATCCAGTTGTTTCTGGGACAACTTGAGTTCTTCTGACCTCAATGCAAAGTCCCGATCATTTTTCTCCTTGAGGTAGGCAACATAATCAGTTGATGTAGAGGTCTTCTTTTTCTTTTTAGCACTAGAAGGCCCTTCATTTGGTTTATCTATAGAAAAAATAAATATTTTTTAAACAGCATGAGAAAATGGTGGCAAGTTAATTTTTAGACCTTCATTAAAACTCCACAATGTGAATATGTAACCTGTTCTTACAAAATTAAATTCAATGCATGATATTTTTCATGCGGCACGAAATCTGAATTTCAGGAGTATGTTGCAATTTCGATGATGTGAATATAATTTGTCATTTCAATCTGCACTTTAAAATAAAATACCTTTCAAAGAATCCACTGCAATATTCCTCACTTGTAGACCTTCTTCGACCTTCCTTTTATCTGCTTCTTTCACCTTTGTATTCTCTCCTAACTTCTTTTCCTCTTCTTCTTCTATCAGTGCCCGAGCTGCAAATAAAAAATAATTTAAATTAAAAAAAAAATACCCTTCCAATAGCCCGAAAAATATTGCCTAATTGCAGTAACCCAGATCACTTAGGTAGAGGTAACTTTAATAACAAATGATTTAGTTTGCAGCCCTACATAGATCGATTTCTATTGTGTAATATATCTTAGCACTTTTTTAAATCCAGAACATACATTTTACTACCGGTTCTTAAAAATAATACTCACGCTTTAAGGGAAGCCATTTCCTCTTTTTTAAAAGCATCAAGTAATGTTCGAAGGCGATCTTTTGATGACCTCTCTGTAACTCTCTGCATCTGTTCTCCCAGTGTATCTGTGATGTACCCATTCACGACTCTGACAATTGCGGTCCATGCTTCTCCCTTTTTTGCTCCCACCATCGAACATGGCGTCTGTGCCAGATACTCCCGCAGCATTAGAATATCTATGGCTGGTCTATAACGAAATGAATTTTTCGTAGGTGGCATTTTCTGAAATGAGAAAAATCCCAAAAAATCAATAGACTTCATATAGGCTGATCATGGGTGGATCCAGCTTTTTTGCAAAGGCGGGGTGAATATTGTTGAATAATGAGCGTAGGTGACAAATTTTCATAAGCCTATAGGCCTATTATGTATTATATATATAGCCTATCCTACGTTCGCGCACATACACAGTAGGCCTATAGTCTCTATTCTTTTTTTATTTCTGACATTCTAATATATATGATACAGACATAGGCTTACATATATGGTTAGACATCACAGGTAGAGACGCTCTATATGCTGAATATGTTGAGTCACTATTTTTTGACAGCAATATGAGCTACGGTATCTGAAGTGTTCATATAACTACCAAACCTTGGAATAAATTATCATAAACCTGCACAAAAAGATGGAATATGTGTACATATTTACTTACGATTCTAGGCTCTCTCAAACGTCGTCACGAATGGCGCTGTACGTTAACCGATTATGAAGTACGCATAATATTGTGACGTCATACACAACAATGACAATCGTATTCGTAATCGTGAGGTTGCGAAACGTCTCTAATATGTAGCCATTAACGATTACCTATCTGAATATGGGGGAAGAGCAAATGGTAGAAACAATATTGAATTCGAAGGTAATTTGAATCTGAACAAAATAAAATTGATATTGAGAAATAAAGAGTCAAGTTTATTTCAGTGTGGAAAATTCATTAAATACTTTACTAGAATTTGATAAAAAAAATATATAAGGAATTAACATACACAAAGCTAATATCGAGAATGATATCGATGTGATAAATATTTACTGCAATTTGATTTTCCAATAAGCACAAACGTCAAATTATTTACAGCATTCCAACATTCACTGTACCGATAGGATATAGAATTATAGAGAAACCATTTCAAACAACGTATTCGTTTATGATTAAAGATGTAAATCTGGAAATCAAAGATGGTAAAAATAGGTTTATTGATTTTGGTAAAGAGGAAATTGTAATTCAACTTCATTTAAAACAAGAGTTAAATTTATTGTGTAATTACTCTTCATTCTCTTCTTGAATAGTTAGGTAAACGAAATCATCAAATTCGTAGTTTTCATCCATGTTCAATTCTTTTTCGTCGTTGTAAGGATACATAATTCCTTCACTATTTGGTGGCTTTCTCCTTACGAGATTCAGATAACGTCTTTTGATTATAATCATCCTTTGGAATAACTATTCCATTTGCGAAACTTTTTTCCCATTTTTTCTTAAATTCATTCGTCACATCATAACCGTTAGCTAATTGATTATAATCTTCTACACTTATCTTATCCTTAGAGTAACCCTTATACGTTTTCATTTCTTTTAGAATACCGTCGAAAGTTAGAATGATATTTTATTTGATTTTTGGCGCTAAATATAAACCATATATAATTCCCCTATCACCGTAATCATTCTTTCCTTTTCAATATTCATTTTCAGATACCAACCCAGCTGCATTTAATTTATCCCAATTGCTATATGAAATGTATAAACTATCAGTCTCGGTATAATATATTTCCGGCTTGTAAAATCCATCTATTACATGAATAAAATTATTCATTTTTTTTTTACTGTGAGATAATACGAATGACCCCAATATAGACTAGGTGTTAGATTTAGGAGGTGTACAGTCAAATTCTTTTTCTTCTTCTTCTTCTATCTCAACGATGTATTGAGTCTCATTTAATTTTTTTTTTTTTGACATGTGAATCGAAGTTGACTTTTAAAGTTGCTTCACTCCATAGATATCTCGATGTAGTTATATCCTTCTGAATAGATTTGCCATACAAGGAATTATATATTACTACTCTCGAGTTCTATGTAATACATTACGAATTTCATCCATTTTAACTGTTGTAAATGATTTTCTGTCAGTAGAAACTCTTCCTCCTTTAATGGATTGTCTGATAAAATGTCTTGTAAAAGGATGAGTGTGTGAGTAAACTTTTTCTATATTTTCTTTTTCAGTAAGTTTTGGAACCATTCTAGTAGTTTCATACCATTCTTCAACCATTTCTTTATGGTAATGATACAAATAATACCAACCCTTTAAAGATAAAGATGGAGCCGTTAGATTATTAGAAACATTTTGGAATACAGCGTCTTTCATAACTTTGTTATATTTTATCAAACATGCTCCAAGACATAGGGTGTCTTGTTTCGCGTAAGGTTCCCATTCGTCTCTTAAAGATTCCCAATTATCTTCGATGTATTTTGCAATATCGATATCAGTGATCTTTCTCAAATTCATTGGTAGATTAGATGAATTTCCCCATGCCGCCAAACAAGATTTTTCATGTTGATAGGAACATATGAAATTAATATTTTGCAGATAATTAGAGTTGCCAATTATTTGTTTTTGTCTTTTCCATTTTTCTGTAAATCTTCATCGGTGAATGAATTAGTTAAAGGTAGAGATAGAATAACTCGACCCGTTACTAGTGTACATTGTGTTAGTTTTTTTGCATTTTTAAGCACGATCCAGTTATAAAAACCGCTACCGTTATGAGACATTAATGTTAATCTTTTTTATCTACTTCTCCTAATCGTTGCAACATTTGATCGATACAATCTGTTCCTACAAATATTCTTACTATATTCATTAGTTTATTGTAAAATTCTTCTGGAATGGGATCAGTTGGTTTTAAATCTGGAAAGAGATGATTTACATCATCCAACATTTTTCTTAGTTTTTCCAAATTAACTAAAGTGCAGGAATAAGGAATTGCTTTATTCGTTTCTTTTTCGCTGCAAGTTTCGTAATCCCATGCGTATAAACAATCATCATGAATTGTTGGAAAAACATTTAGTTTTAGAGGTGAAACTTGTGTTACTGCATTATCATCTCTACAAGTTCTCCATTCGTTTTCATCGTAATTATCTTCTATTTCTGTAATACCTAAGCTTTTCTTATTTCTTCTTATGAGACAGAAATGTGATTTATGTAAGTACAATACCCAATCTAATTCCTCGGATACTTTCTTTGGTCTATTTTGAGGCATATAAATTTGAAAATAAGTATTAAATTTCTTATTGAATTCAGTGATTCTAGCAGATGTCATAACTCCTTTTCTGTTTGATTTTTGAAAACTGTTGATGAAATCGTGAAATTCTTTTGTTATATCTATGTTCATGATATGATTTACGCACTTTATAAAACAGTGTCCATCGCTTGGTATGTAACAATTTATACCAGCATATTCATTTATCTCTTTGAGTAGGGAGAAACCACTACCCTTTTTTGATCTTTTTATTGTGGGACTTTGCTTTCAGCAAAGTCCCAGTTTGTTATCGAAATGTCAAATTGTTTTTTTTTTTTTTTTCAACTTCTCTAGACCTTCTGTAGTGGCGACGTGTTCCTTAAATATGTATTGGAACATTTTTGCAAAACCGGAATTGCCACAGTTCAACATGTGCAAAAAGTCGAAAATCGGCTCTAGAAGGCGTATTTTTGCATCGATTTTCTTCGGGTTTTCATTTCTACAATCTACCTGTAATTTCTGACCTGATAGCACTTAAAAATTTCACATTTCGAAAATTCGTAGCATACATTTTTTGGCCGAATTTCGAAATTTTTGGACCATTTTTCAGTTTTTTTCGGATTAATCTGAAATTTTGATAAAAGATGCATGTCACTAATGTAAACCATTTGACGTATTCAAAATTTTTGCGTCACTTCCGGTTAAAGTGGAAAATCGATTTTCACTTCCGGTGTGATTGAAATATTTCAACGAAATTATGTATATCGTTATTAATCTTAATTCTATGGCCGATTTTAAAATAAAATTTAGTCCAAAAAAAATACTTCGGCCGCCATCTTGATTTGATACTTTTTCATAAAACTCAAAATGGGGCTTCGGGGGAGAATGGGATTGGTCAAATTTTTATGTTGGTGTATACTTTAATCGATGGCGACAAAAATGTTGGAAATGGATTTTTGAATTTGACTTTTGCTTTTTTGCAACTTCCGGTCGAATTTTTTTCAATTTTTGAAGGCTTGTATCTCGTGACCTTGACCTTTGATGACCTTGACCTTTATAGGATCAAAGGTCATTGACCTTGTCTTATCATTTGATACTTTGACCTTTGACCCCAGACATGTACTTCCGGTTTTATAGCTATCCGTAAAAAGCCAAATTCGCAACTTTGGACTGCTCTAACACGTGACCTAATTAACCTAGAGGGTTAATTTTTTCGGTTTCCTAATGTTCTTCTCATGCACTTTACATAGATATAGAACAATTGCTTTTTTAAAGCAAAATTGAAATTCGTGATTTTTTCAAATTTGAGTTTTGTTTTACCATATTTGTGTCTTTTTGATCTTGGTGTATGTATTTCTTATGACCTATTTTATGTAGAACCTTGATATTTGGAATACAACTAGACACTTTGAATATGAATTCACCTACGACAAAAAAACTTATGTGGGCGTGGCACATCCGGGTTGAATTACTAATTGTTTACATTTTGGGGCTGGGGCATAACTCGCATAGGATACGTTTGTTAAAAAAGGGCCTTTGCACACAATTACCTCATCCTTTTGGCCAGTTTGTGTTAACAGCTCAGTTGTTTCAGCTTTATAGTTCCAAAAAAGGAACGGGTTTTAACATATGGATATTTTCATTTTTCGATTTTGACCTTTGTTGACATTTGTTGACCTATATCTTTTGACCTGAATAATGTAGAAGCTTGAAATTTAAAACACAACATAATATTTGGAATATCAATTACCCTATGCAAAAAAAATTAAGGTGGGCGTGGCACATTTGGGTTATATCACTCATTATTGATATTTTTGGCTAGGAGCATAACTCGCAAAGTATACGTTTGTTCAAAATGGAACTTTGCATACAATTACCTCATATTGTGAGCCACTTTGTCTTAGAATTTCGGTTGTTTCCGCTTCTTAAATCAAAAAAAGGAACAGGTTTTGGAAATTGAAAATTTTCAATTTTTGACCTTGACCTTTGTTGACCTTGACCTTTGTAGGATCAAACGTCATTGGCATTGGCTATCTATTTGTACTTTCATATTTGCTGTCCTATGTCAACTTCCGGTTTTATAGTCGTGTGCAATTAGAAATTTTGATGACGTATACCTCTTGATCTTGACCTTTTTAGACTTTCTTTTTTACAAGATCAAAGGTCATTGACCTTGGCTATCTGCTGATACTTTCATTTGTGAGGTCTGACGTCTACTTCCGGTATTAGAATCTTCTAAAAAATGAAAATTTCTCAACTTTAGACTGTTCTTGCGCTTGATCTAATTATCGTGGAAGGATGATTTTTTTGGGGTCTTTTGCAATTTGCTACATTTGCAAAGTCCCACTCTGTGCCACGAGTGGCTCTAGTTTCTTTTCTTTTTGGGTGTGAATTGATGGAAATATTGGAGAGTATTCCTATAGTGCGCATTTCTGGGATAGACGCGAAATAAAATGGAGCGGATATCCGGACGTCAGCATAGACAGTCTAAACTCTTAGCAGTGTCTCAATTTTGTTACGCTGGAAGATTAGGAATTCAATCATACAAAATCTAGGTATGTTCTTTGTTTAATTTAATCATAAGACGACAGGGTGGAATTAAGATATGTTATTTGTTGTTTTTGAAAATATAAATTTCTTTTTGTTTTTATTCCAGACACAAGTTTAATAGATACCAACATTTCGTATCACAAAGAATATTTACACCATCACAGGCAGTTGGGGATACAAAGAGGCCAAGAACTTTGCCAAACTCTGTGACAAATATCCGAGGTTTCAAAATTGTTTATACAGATTTAGAAAGAACAAGTGCTGAAGAACAATCGTTTTGGAAAAGGATATAATTCATGTGACGTGTATATACTGATTCTAAAGGAGCGGTCATAACCTTGAAGTATATTCACCGATTGTGTAAGAGCGGTCATGTGACATAAAGTATATCTACCGATTCTCTAGGATCGGTCATGACCCTGAACTATGTCTACCGATTGTGTAAGAGGGGAGATAACCTGAAGCATATTCACCGATTCTCTATGAGCAGGCATGACCGTAAAGTATATCCACCGATTGTATAAATGGGGAGATAACCCTAAAGCCTGGTCGTAACCCTGAAGTATATCTACCGATTCTGAAGGAGCGGTCACAACCCAGATGTATATCTACCGATTGTGTAAGAGCAGTTATAACATTGAAGTATGTCTATCGATTCTCTAGGAGCGGTCGTGTGGTGAACATTACCAATCCCAGTAGAAGTGTATATCAATATAATTGTTTATGTTTTATATTTTCTGTATTAAAAATGTGTAATTAATTTTGTAAATGTATTTATTAAAACCTAAATCTTACTTTGGTTTCTTGATATTCTTCCTGGATTTCCATGGGGGTAAATGGTTTCAAAAAATAGGGTAAAACCTATCTTTAAAAATGGCAGAAAAAAATTACAGATTAGATCCGATCTTTCAATTATATGACCCAATTCGTTATTCGTTTAATATCACCAACCGTCGGCTCTAGGTCCCAACTAAATGATGGAGGTAGGGTCACTTTCGAGATTAATTCATAATCGAATTGGTTGCTTCTATCTGATGCCTGTTTCAGATGCGATTTCAAAATTAAGGACGGAACTCTTATCAGAATCAACCCCCACAAACCAACACAACGTTAGAAAACAATTTCTTCCCATCTTTATTTGCTGAAATGGTTTTGGAAGCTGGTTCAAATCCCATAGAAACCATCAAACATCCGTTAGAATTTGACATAATGTTGAAAACAGTTCTATAACCAAAAAACTACGATTCTGTTTCCGGATGGATACCCGTTGTTGGTGATGGAAGTGTTTTAAAAGAACCGGTAAGAAATGTTCCAAATGATGCAAATGAAGATAGAATGAGAGCTATTGCTCGAAACACAATAGAAAGAGTAGCAAGGGCAGTAAATTATGGATTCGACAAACGAGTAAATCAGTATAATTCCATTGATAATAATTACGTAAATTGGAAATTATATCCTTTATACGGTCTTTTGGAACACAGAAAAGTTTCCATAGGGTTACCATATAAAATTCATCTACAAAGAGAAATCAATGATGATAAGATATTCTTTGGAGAGAATGCTTCAGATGCAAATTTAGAAATAACGAATCTCCAACTTTACATACCCGTAATAACACCATCAATTGAAGTAGAAACGAGAATATTCAACATGTTGACTAAAGATATTGAAATAGCTTTTCTTCGTCGTAACACGGTAGGTAGCATGACTTTAACTAGAGAATCAACTACATGGCCAATATTTAACACTATTAAACCAGCAAGATATTAAATGGTTGGTTTCAAGATCTTACCAGATTCTCAAACGAATAACAATAATGTCTTCAGAGTGGCATTGAACCAAAATCAAAATCATATAATCCATAAAGTTCAAGTAAGATTGAATAACAATAATTATCCTAACCAACCTTTAACAATTAATCCAACCACGAGGGCTTATAATGAAATCCACCTCAGTTTGAATATGTAGATTTTGCAATTAATCACCTTATATTCTGTTTTGATCTATCAGCTCATCAAGAAGATCTTTTCAAAACAGGGGTGAATATAAATATTTATATTGAAAAAACACAAGGAGATGTGACCGGTTATTGTTTATTATTGGAAGAAGCAAAACATCTAATCAAAATATCCGACAGACGGATGATTCGTATAGAATAATCATAAGAATTACCCTCTTAAAAATAAAACCAGAAACTTTAGTAAAAAGAATAATAGAAGCTATCGAAACGGAATAACCAACTACAATAACTTACAATGGTAAAAAGATTAAAATATCTAAAAAAAAAAACTTATTTCTATATATAAACATTGTAAAGTCCGAGATGATATAGATTTGGAAAAAATTGACAAGAGTGTAAAGGATGGTGGATATTTACCTTTGATATTTGCTGGACTGGCCGCAGTTGGTGCAACTGCTCGTGAAGCGGCTGAAATATCACAAGCCATCGACGCCAAGAAAGCAGCTGATGCTGAAAAAGTGAAAATCGTAGACAAATATGGAAATGGAAAAGATAGCACAAGTTTCAGGAGTAGCAGATACATTAGGGACAGTTAAAGAATTTGGAAATCGATTTAGTGAAGAAACCAAGAAACTGTTAAAAAGGGATTAAGTAATCTAATAGATAAAATCGACACCGGAGAAATGAAGGTCAAACATAAGGGGAATGCCATAGTTTTAAAAAAAATACATTCTGGAGAGGGAATCTTTCTTTTAAAGTATAAAGGAGATGGAGTAATAAAAAGATAGTGGACCACAGCCATATACGCCCGTCACGGCATGCGGATGGTAAAAACGAAACATCCTTTTAAGTTTCATCAAAATCGGTTGAAAACTAAAAGAGTAATAGCATATTCAAGATTTTGGGGCAAGGGCAATAACTCTGCTTCTAACAGTCGAAAATAGCTCAAATTCGAACTTGATCTTCGTTTTATGAATATGTATACACATGCCGAATTTCATTGGATTCCATCAAAAAATCGAGTTTTTAGAGCGTTTACAAGCATATGTTGACGGACGGACCGACGGGCGGACAGGGGTGCCGACAATATACGTCGAGATATATATAGAGACGCGTGGGCGTATAAAAATGGGCAAAAAATTTACTCATTCAGAAATATTTCCTAGTAACCCAATGCTTATGTGTATATGCGGAAGCTCAGGTTCTAGGAACCATATTATCAATTCCTCAAAGATTTAGAATATATACCAAAGAAAGACGTTCAAGACATATTTAAATATTATGAAGACAATGATGAGATGGCGGAAATAAAAGATATCTTAGATACATATATAAAAGAATCCATCTTTCAATCCAACGGATATAAAAGTTGTTCTTACGAAAAATGTTAATGATTTAGATTTGTCTAAAGTTGAAAGTGAGCGAAAGAACTTAATAGTGTTTGACGACTGTGTAGCACAAAGAAATCAAGCTGTTCAACAAGTATGGAAAACGTGAAGAGACGATAACGCAGTAACACAGGTGAACACAGGTTTCACCTCTGAAACTAAACATGTTTTCAAGTATAAGTGATGCTGGGTTATTTGCTTGGGACTGTGAAACATATTCAGAAAGTGAAACGCGTAAAGCAATTCCTTATGCGTGTACGTTAATTTATTTAGAAAAAGTAAGAAAAATGTTAGACAGAATAAATAATCTTTTTCCAGATTTAAATCCTACAGATAATGTTCCAGAAGAATTTTATGATAAACTAATGAATATAGTAGAAATATTTGTAGGTACAGATTGTATAGATTGTCAATATGATAGAAAGAGATTAATATTGATTTCTCATAACGGTAGAAATTTTGATAACTGGATCGTGCTTAAAAATATAAAAAAAAACTAACAAAATGCCCTTTAAAAACACCCAGAGGAATTCTATCTTTACCTTTATCTAATCCATACACAGATGACAATTTACAGAAAAAATGTTTACAAATCATTCATGTATTCGATAGTTTATTACTGGCAGAGCAAATCACTTGCTATAGCCTAAAAAAATAAATACATGAATACATAAACATAAATATTAAAGAATAATGAGGATCAAACAAAATGAGAGAAAATAGACGAAATGACAGACAAATAAACATATAGACATATGTACATAATTAATACCCATAAGGTCACCGTCGTGGAATTAGAGAGTTATTAAGGATTTCCTTATTTCAAATGCTTTTATAAGGTATTTAGATAATTTAATTTGATGCTTGGGTTTAGTGTTACTGACAAGACATATAAATTTATGGATTGATGGGAAATACCAAAATCTTCGATGGAAATATTTGCGACGTAAAGACACGTAAGCTGGACAACAAAGTAGGAAGTGATATTCGTCTTCAATAGAATTCATTCTGCAGCATAAGCATAGTCTCTTCTCACGGACAGTGTTAATATATCGGCCAGTTTCAATCGCGAGTTTCATGGTACCACTACGAAAACGAGATATTATGAATTGGAATTTGTGCTATAAAGTATTACAAAGGTATGAATCCATTACAAAAATATGTTTATATAACTTATAGAAACGAAGTCTACTAGAAAACCACTCCTGGATGAATATATCTTTAATACAGTTGATAATGGTTGTTATAGATCGTGAATTAAGCGAATTTAGGTTATACCATAAATATGAGAGACCCAATTTGTCTAACATGTTTTTGACATTCCAAGCCCAATTACGCTTGTTTTTATTGGCATCTTCCAATAAGACTGAGTAGATTTCCTGCACTAAGACATTTTGTGAATTAAGTATTTTCATCCAGTAGTTAGTTATGCGTATTTTTCTTAGGATTGTGAGTGGGTAAAATTCCAATTCGCCTAACAAGAACATGATAGGAGTGTTCTTACCAACGTGGAGAGTGTAACGCATATAATCATTCTGAACGCCCTCTATATTTTTGCCTGGATGGAACCCCAGATTTCACGAGCGTAGTTCGCCACTGAACATACCAATGATTGGTAAAGCTTACATTTGATGGGTATTGAGAGGTTAAAACGATTAGTGATAGCAATTAGAGACCCCAAGCCTTTTCTTCCTTGGGCTGCTATTCTTTTTTCTGAGTGTGAATACTTTCCATTATCGGACAAAAGAATTCCTAGATATAAATATTCCTTGACAATTTCTAATTGGTTACCAGCTATAGTAAAACTTGTATTGCTAGTTAGACGGCCTCTATGGAATATTACGACTTTCGTTTTGTCAACATTTATTTCTAATTTCCATTTTTGACAAAAGTCGTAGAATTTGTCTAATAAGTTTTGAAGCGAAACAGCAGAATTTGCAAAGAGAGCGGTATCATCAGCAAATAATAACGAAAGTAGTACATAGTCTCCAAGGTGACAGAAATCAGGGCGATCATCGAAAAGTCAATCACGCAAATCATTAATAAACAATAAAAATAGTAATAGTGATAAAGGTTCTCCCTGTTTAACTCCGGTATAGCTTTTAAAGCTGTCTGATAATGACCCATTAAACATTATTAACTTCAGTATACATGGAAGATATCATTCGTAACATTTTACTACTAATGCCACGGGATTTTAATTTGATTAATAACAGATTTCTGTCAACTCTGACAAATGCTTTTCGGAGATCTATGAAACCACAGTATAATTTTTTGTTGCTATCAAGTGAGTGATCAATAATACCCGTAAGTACAAAACGCGCATCTACAGTGCTTCTATTTTCCCTGAACCCAAATTGAGATACCTCTATAGTTGTCTGGTATATGCAGGTTCCCCTTTTTCGGAACAGGTACAAGGAGGCAGTCGTGCCAACTGGATGGGTAGATACCATTGTCATAAATTTGATGGAAGATGGTTGTTAAATAAGGCAAGAGGAGATCGATAGTTTCAATGAAAAATTCACTATTAATTTGTTCTAATCCTCCACTTTTGTTTCGTTTAAGTTTTTTGACGGCTCTAACTATCTCATCACACGAAATAGCAGTGTCAAGGCTGTCTACATGTATAGTAGGTTCGAAATCAGGCAATAGAATTGAATTCGTAGTAGTAGTGCCATAGACTGATTTGAAATGATTTGATATATCGTTACATGTTAGTTTTGTGTTCGCAGTTTTATTGGATTTTATTGATTTCCAAAATTGCTTCGGGTTGCTGATAGATAGTTCACATAACTGAAGACCCAATGCTTTATTGATTTTGTATTTGGCTTTTCGTTTCACTTTGGAAAATTCAGATCAATATAAGGAAAAATGTGTCTATTTCTATCACTTTTAAACTTTTGATACCTATTACGCGAGGAACAGAAATTTTTCCTTGTGCAATTTTCCAACTTTCGTCGAACCAACGATTGTCTATGATTTGCCTATTAGATCCTTTCAGCCTCGACCTTTTACAAAATAAACTTAAGGAAATTTCATAAAAGATACCACTAAAATCTGTAACTAGACGATCGATATCACCAGAATTATGGCTAGAAGACACTTGTTGAGATAAAATACCTAGTTTACTTGTCACAAGTGCCCTAAGATCATCAATTTTGGAATCGTCCCACAGTGAAAGTTATAGGGTTGGAGTGTGCAATTATCTCATATGTTTGATCAACAGTAGATTTGTGTAGAGGCGAGGTACTCAATTCAAAATTTAGGACTGCATGGTCGGAAAATTCATTGAGTTCCAAAACTTTGAAATTACATAAGTTTGCAAATGATAATCTAGGAATAAGAAGATAGTCTATTAAACTAGTACCACAAGAGGAACAATAAGTAAATGTACCAGTGTCAGTGCCGAAACGCCCATTAGCTATCAGACAGTTGATAAGCTTTTTACCAAAATTATTGATAGTTGTATCTTCAGATACCCTGGGTTCGGGGTTGCTATCATAACAGTCGGAGATCGAATTATTGAAAATATCATTCAGTTTATCGTGGACAATAAAGTCAGGTTCATTGCTGGTGCGACTATTTAGGTCACCACATATCAAAGTTATCCCAATTAGAGGATATCTATGAAACACTTGTTCAATTTCTATAAAAATGTCATTTTCAAAAATATTATAGAATGAACTATATTCAGGGGGTATATACACAAAAATGATATAAACAAGAATGGTTGAATAACAAACGGTTGATTTTAAGTACACATAGGCACCATTTGCAGGAGTAGACAATATCAAGAAAGGCATCAAGGTGGAGTTTGTTAAACACGGCGAGGCCACCGCATCTAATATTATGTTTGCCAAATGAATTGAGATTATCTCTTGAAATAAATGTACCATCCGAGAAATTGGGTAAATTAGCATCAATCAAATCATCATTCTTCACACAGAAGAACTATGTCATATGGTGATACGAGATCTACGAATGAGTTATCTTTGATCACTGATTTTAGACCATTCACGTTCCAGCATAATACCGATATATATATTAGTTGAGTTATCTTCATTTGTAGGTGGCGACAGTGTATGTGTCGATATGTTCTTTCGGCTACTATAATCGGGTTGAGTTGAAATCTCAGTGGTATTTATATGATTAGCAGAGCTCATAGGTTGACTTGGACGGGCTCTTTAATAGAGATTAAGAACTGGGTTAAATCACTTTCGGATACAATAGTGGAGATAGTATTGTTAAAACATTTCACTTTAATCCTTCCGTCAAACGTCCAGCAACTATCAATGAGTTTTTCTTTGTATAATTCACGTACCTTACGATACAAACCCGAGCGCTACTTAGTTAAAGCCTCATTAATAAATACATTGAAGCACCTATTCTGATTAAATGACTTCAACTCCCTTTTCTTACCAAACACTAGTGCCCCACACCTATAACTCAGAAATCGTACGATAATATCACGACAGAATCCATTACGATAACGACCGACACGATGAGAACGGCCTATATCGTCTAATGAAAGCCTGAAGCTAGTCGAAGCTAGAAGTTCACTATTTCTAGAATGATTTGGTCAATGTCTTCTCTTTCTCTTTCTCCGTAGCCTGGTTCCGGGATACCACTAAATTTAAGACAGGTGCGACGCGAATATTGTTCTAAGACAGGTGCGACGCGAATATTGTTCCAAGTCATCAACGCGGTCCTCCAAGGCCGTGATACGACTGTTCAAAATTTCGGGTTGTAGGATTTGGCATTTTGATTTTTTAGTAGAGTTGATAAAAATATCTTCTGGGAGTGATCATCTTTCATTAATTTGTCAAGAAAATCAGATGTGTCAGTTGCACTGGCATTAGAATCACTTGTATCCTCGCGAGCTCTTTTATTTGCTGACTTGTCACTGGACTTTGTCTTCCCTTTACCCATGATAAATTGTTGTAGGTAACACCAGAAGTTAAATAATCAGTACTTACATGGGGTAAGCAAAGATGAAATTAGGCATGGGATTAGCGGATGAAATTCACAAAGAATTTAGAAAAACTAAAAACTTTTTGAAAGTAAAAGTGTTTGAAAAAGGTGAAATATGGTCAGCCGATTTAATTCATATGCCAGTCTGCCAGTCAAAAACCGACTTTTAAAAATGAATGAATTTGATAGAAGATTAAGAGATGTAGACAAGCATTTTCGCTTTCTTAAATTTAAATTTATATTCAAAATATTATTGAATGTGTTTTATCAGAATGTAATACAATTTTTTTCAAAAAAAACGACTTTTAAAAATGAATGAATTTCTCGATAAATATGGAACCGATACAACCACAAACTTTCAACTTATGAGATGGGCGAATGAGTTAAATATATCACCGTTTTATTATTGTATGAGAGATGAAATAAATGATCTGAAATATATGAAAGGTAAATTTTACGCGATAACAAATATACATACTTCCGATCAAAGACTCTGACTTTTATTTCTTCGATTCTTATGGATTAGAACCCAATGAAGAGATAATCCAATTGACTAATAAACCAATCAAATGTTCAACATTTCAAATTCAATTACCGGGACAAAAGATTTGTGGTCAGCTTTCACTTTGGGTTTTATATCAGTTGAGTTTAGGAAAACAGTTCGAAGAAATTGTAATAAATTTTACACAATAAAAATGGCGAATAAGTTTGGATTAGGTTCTTTATCTTTAGAAACCAGAAAACCTAACACAAACAACGTGGATAAATAAAGCGATACCTTACTTTGTAGATCAAATCGGAGACACTCTTCAAGGTGATTTAGATATGAACAATTTTACCATAACTAATTTAAAGTCTCCGGAAAACGATAATGACGCCGTTCACAAGAAATATTTACGGGAACAAATAAATTCAATTGAAGTAAATAAAAACCATTTAGAAGATAAAATAAGTAATGTGAAAAGATTCTTCAAACGTCAACTAAATAATAAAAATGTTGTTAATGATACTAAACTACAACAAGAGGTAAAAAGTTTTATTCAAAAAGAATTGGTCAACGTTGCGAATAAAACTGAGTTACAAAATTTAATTTCATTAATATCTAAATTAGAGGATAAGATTGCAAAACAAAAATTAGACATTCAACAATTGATAGATAACATTCCAGATGAAAATGAAGATACGTTTCAACAGAATTAAATGCTCTGGAAACTAAACTTAACAGTGAATTACAAAAAGAACTAACAAATATTAAAAAACAAATACAAAACATAGATGATAGTGAAATCAAAACCTATATTCGACAACAAATACAAAACATAGGTTTTGATTTCGCTATCATCTATGTTTTGTATTTGTTGTTGAATATATTTTTTAATAAGAGATGATGCATATGTTAATATATCAATCTCTGTTAGAAAACCAAACTTTCAGTTCATCTGAATAAGATTAATGATTTGAAAGAACAAATATCGTTAGTAACTGTAAAAGTTGTTATTAATAAACACCTACCAGCTTTATCAGAAATTCATTTAATTTAATTACATAAAAAATGGAACTCGAAAGTAGACAAAAATACATTATAGAAAAACAAAACGAAATAAAAGAAAAACTAAAACAATAGAGTAGAAATTATTCTGTTTTCAAAACATTAAGTTGTAACAGTAGGGATAACGGTGGCAACAGGCGTAACCGGTGGATTAATGCTTCCAATAATTGTCCCAACTGTATTAGCCGCGTTCACTGCCGTTCAAACTTCTACGGAGCCCCTTAAGCGCAATTTTCAACACTTTTCATTATTATTTCGTTTAAACGAAACGCCAAGATGCAAGCAGATTTGTCGTATTTGACAAGGAGTTCTCGGTATCATGTATCGTTATTCCTAACACAGGAATAATCCCCGACTTATTGTCCAAATAAACTGATGATAGTGTAAATTTATGGTATTGAGTTCCGTTACGTATATTCTGTAATGACCAGAATAATAATTAATATGACACGTAATAAGTTCAATAACGGCCCTAAGTCTTTTATCTAAAATGTGTATCGAAACATTGTAACAATTTGAAAATTTCTTCGTCGGTAAATTCAAAGAGTAATATCAGTTAGGTATATGAATTCCTTTGATGTCGCGCTGTTGTCAAATAAT